ATATATATATATATATATATTTTTTACCTGTATTTTTGATTATTAATTTTGATTTTTTTTATTTTTTTTTTTTATCATTGTTTCTACTGCCCTCGTGTGTTCAATACCGGAACTGCAAATCGCAAATTGACAATTTAATTTTACAGATAACCAAAAATGTAGAACATCAAAGTTCATGCTCAACAATACAGGTAAAAAATACAACAAAGTTAAGTCAGGTCCTCTGGATGGTTTCTTTGTTTCTTTTTTTTTTTTTTTTTGCACATTTCGTCCTTCATCCAAAGGACTTCATCAGTCCGAGGAGCCACAACAATCAGTCCCACAAGCACACTCACATAGTGGACCAACCAAATTGATGGTGATAAGATGGTTTCTGGAGTCCAAAAAAACATTTTTCCCTGGATTATTGAGCATGAACTTTGAGGTTTTGAACGACTTTGGCCTCAAAAGAGACTGGATTGTGAGTGCGCTGCTTGTGGCACCGTTTGTTGTGGCTCCTCGGACTGATGAAGGCCTTTAGATGGACGAAACGTTTCATCAACAAAAAAGAAAGAAAGAAACCGTCCAGATGACCTGACTAACTTTATTGGAAAAATATAGAACATTTCCATACTTGAAGCATTTTGCAGTTCTCAGTTTCACTTTGACAGAAAAAGTATTTCTATTATTTTCAGGACTATTCGTAGAAATGAAACTGACCTAACAGGTTTATTTTATTTTAATTGCTTTTTGTTGCATTATTGTTGTCTGTACTCTGTTGTTTGTCTAAAACTGGTCCCTCTTGTAAATAAGTCCTCGTGACTCATTGAGACTAACCTGTATAAATAAAGGTTGAAAGAAAAAAAATTAAACGGGCGGTAAACAAGTACTACGCTGAAGGCCAACACTTCTATGTAAATTTTCAAGAGAAAAGTAACTTTTAAATTTTTTATTTAATTTATCAGAATAAATAAATGCCATATTGCTTTTTCTTAAAAGTTTTCAATAGAAACAAATGATAATTAGTGTTGGCTATTTGAAAAAGCTTCAGATGTTTTGAAATTATTTACAAAATATTTTAAATATCCAAAGTTAGACGTTTCCCGCGGTTTGCCAACAATGTGCTGCTTTCCGACAGTCATAAACGCACCATCAAGCTGCCGTTTCTGCCGCGCATGCGTTGTACACTCTTTCCGAGCGCAGCATCAAGAACATGGCTGACGTGACGGTGGTGGACGGAGAGAAACTAAGCAAAAAGTGAGCTCATTCATTTCCTACAGTGATTTTTGATAGTTATTCTTTCCGTCAGATGTTGTATTATACTGGATGTCTCTTGTTCTTTTGACAATAATGATTGTTTTATTTTGGTTATTCAAATCGTCGTGTCATATAATGAAAGCAGAGTTGAGTCCCATATGGAGTCAAGCTAATAGCCTACACATCCCAGGATACAGTGCGCTGGTGTGTCTGGTAGTTGTAGTCCTACTCTGTGACAGCATCTCGTTTCAGTGTGTCATTTTGCGGTCAGGAAAAACTACAATTTTTCTTTCACGTATCAACACGCAGGTTTCATTTTCTAGCATGATCAGATCGAAAGGATACGCTTGGCAATTTAATTTGAGCATTTTGTCACTGATTAGCTTGTCAATATGTATATTTAAAAAAGGAAAAGTGCTTAACAGCTTTGTCTTTTTGACATGTTTATGTTTTCCAAGTTCAAGATTCTTTATGGTCATTCGCATCGCATGTGGTACATGACGTGGAATGAAACAGGGTCCCAGTTGCACACAACACCAGCAAAAATATGAAGTGTAAAAAGAAATTGTAAATAAGGATCTAAGATATAAACTAAGAAATATGCTAAACACTTAATAGTGCAAAACAATACGCCGTACAACAGCAGCACGAACATGAGTCTGTGTGAGTAGATGAGTACGAATGAACACAGCAGCATGAAATAAATCAGCAGCATGAAATAAATCATCCATCCATCCATCCATCCATTTTCTTTACCCGTTTATTCCATTTTGGGTCACGGGGGTCGCTGGTGCCCATGTCCAGCAATCACTGTGCGAGGGGCGGGGTACACCCTGGACGGGTCGCAAGTCCATCACAGGGCCACATAGAGACAAACGAGACAAACAACCATTCACTCTCTCACTCACACCTAGGGGCAATTTAGAGTTACCAAACAGCCTAACATGCATGTTTTTGGACTGTGGGAGGAAACCGGAGTACCCGGAGAAAACCCACACATGCACGGAGAGAACATGCAAACTCCACCCAGAAAGGCCCCTGGACCGGGGTTTGAACCAGGGACCTGCTCGCTGAGAGGCCAGTTGCGCCACCGTGCTGCCGAAATAAATCAGCAGCATGAAATAAATCAGCAGCACAATTTATTTTATTTTTTTTACAGTGATAATCCTGGTTAGGGATTCATGAGTCTTAACAGCTTCAGGGTAGAAGCTGTTCCTCAGTCCAGTGGTTCTACACTTAATGCTCCTCAACCTTCTTCCTGAGAGGAACGGGGCAAAAAGTGTGTGCTGGGTGAGCGGGGTTCTTCATGATGCAGGTGGCCCTCTTCCTGCATCTGGAGGTGTAGACGTCTGTGATGGTGGGGAGGCTGACCCGGCGTTCCCTAGCTAACAACACCAATAAAGCTAATTTGATATACCAAATTATTATTATTATTATTATTATTATTATTGCAGATACCTGAGTCGGCTTTTATTTTTTACGTCTGGTTGTTGTGATTAGACTTGTAGAATTTGCCTTATGTCACTAGCATCGATGCAGCGTTCATTTTTCTGTGTTGAGTCAGCCCTTGACGCTCCACTCTTGTCTTTGCGTAAACGTCTGTGTTCTCAGGTCGCTCTGCTGCCTGTGGTAGTTCAGCATGCTGTGTCTGGTCAGGGCAGCCAGGCTGCAGCTGTGCCACGCCTTTGCGATCAGGGGGCAGTGGTTAAAACATGCACCCCCGTGTACAGCTGCACACCCAGCTCAGTTTCACGGGACCCATTGGAGAGGTGGCAAAAGGTTGGTGGCTTTTTCATTCTTGTGTGAAAAACAACCAACCTTTTGTCACCAAACTAGGTGTGGTTCCCCTTAACCATACATCCATTTATAAATGTATCACAGCTGAGCTAAATGTTAGATGTGATAGTGTGAGCTTATTATTTATGTACAGTTAGAAATACTGAAGGAACTTGGAACATCCATTTGAAACCAGTTTTTAAATATAGCCTAATACACATCTGTACATTTGTCTTTTCTTTCTTATTAGTGAGCTGAAGAGACGAATGAAAGCAGAGAAAAAAGCTGCTGAGAAAGAAGCAAAAGTGAAAGAGCTGGTGGAACAAAACAAAGAATCCAATGATCATGGAGCACAAAATGCCTCTGCGTTGGATGAGGAGACACTTGACCCCACTGTAAAACAAACATTGTTATTAATTATTAAGCATTAATGTCATGTTATTTATGTAAGAGTTGTTTTTATTTCCATGTTGCATAGCAATACTTCAAGATCCGCTCCCAGGCCATCAATGACTTGAAGGGAACTGTGGAGGACCCGTACCCACACAAGTATCATGTGGACTTGTCACTCACAGATTTCATTGAGAAGTTCAGTCACCTGCAGCCTGGGGATCAGCTCAAAGATGTTCTGCTCAATGTGTCCGGTAACAAGAAGAGCTCTTCTGCTTTCGCTGTATTTCAAGTAGTACTTTTTGTTAAACGGCATCTTTGGCAGGTCGCGTCCATGCCAAGAGGGCTTCTGGTGCCAAGCTGATTTTTTACGACCTGCGAGGAGAAGGTGTCAAGTTGCAGGTTATGGCAAACTCCAGGTAATAAAACCAATTATTCATCCATCCATTCTATACCCTGCATGGTCCCTTTTTAGAGTATCGGCAAGAGTCTCTTGGTAAAAAGGCAGTAAATCAGAAATTAAAAAACAAAAATTTAATTTAAGGATTTCTTGTTTTATTGTTCTTAGAATTTATTTATTTAACAAATTGGTTGTGTTAATAAATGCTTTACACACTGATTTTAAAGCGCTGCCCACAAAAATTGAAACTTAAAAATTATGTTTTGTGCACGTGGAAAAAAAAAATTTAAATCTAAAATGACAGTTGAAGTACCAGTAAGCGGACGGTAATGTTATCTTCAAATGATCAAATATCTTTTTATTATGAACTACCGTACTTGCCGCCGTAAACGTTGCACCACAGTGTAAGTTGCATCAGTCCAAGTATGTCTAATAAAGTGGAAAAAACATAAATACGTTGCTTTGCCGTATAAGTCGCATCTATTATGCGTCACCGCTGACGATCTGGAAACGTGTGCCAGTGTTGTGCCAAAAATCCGTTGGCTGCCAAATGGCGACTGCGGGAGCGTGCGCAGGAGGACTTTAACAAGAATTTAACCAGATTAACACTTTTTGCAAATGTGTGTCTCAGTGTAACTTTTACTAAATAAATGCACTTTGACCAATCGGCTGCATTTTAAAAGCCGATTTGCAGCTGCGGGAGCGTGCATGGGAGAACTTGCTGTGCATTTCTTTGAAATTTAACAAGATAACCACCTAAAAACAATAATTTGTTTGCTCGACATTATAGCAAAGGTGCGTCTCAGTTGAGCTTTTCCTTAATAAATGTACTTTAATGGCCAAATCAGATTTGATGTGACGTTTGCTCCAAGAGTTCTGGAGCGAGACGAAGGTGTCTTGGTATGGCAAGACAAGTGTCTCATTAACAGCCACTTTTACCTATTAATGAGACACTTGGCTTGCCACATTAGTCGAGGGCCCTCTATTGGCTGAAAATGATAGTGTTCAATATTTTCCATGTCAGGATGAATGGAATCGTCAGATCTCAGCCAAAAATTGGTTTATAAATATGGGAAAAACAAATACGTTGCTTCGCTGTATAAGTCGCAGTCATGCTAATTTATGCAAAAAACTGTGACTTATACAGCGAAAAATACGGTAATAACATTGACCTTACACATTCACGTTACCATATCTTAATATTATATATTTAATGTTGTCGTTGTTTTTTTAAGATTATCCTTATTCTCATGTGTTGGTACCGTACTTTTCTTGATTTGTTGTTTTTGTATTTGCTTCTACACACGCAGGAACTACCACTCTGAGGAGGACTTTGTAGCCATCAACAACAAACTGCGCAGAGGTGACATCATCGGGGTCCGTGGAAACCCCGGAAAGACAAAGAAGGGGGAGCTGAGCATCATTCCCATCGAGATGACCCTGCTGTCACCGTGTTTGCACATGTTGCCCCACCTCCACTTTGGCCTCAAAGACAAGGTGATACCCATCATAGGTTTTTTTTTTCTGCAAGTTTGTTTGCCCAACTAATAAATAATAAATGAAACAGACTTTAGTGTAGATTCAAACAAAGGTATTAGTTTGTTTTAAATGCTCTTGTTTGCAGTGACACTGAAGCTGGGTTGTTTTTTTTTTTTTACAACAAACAAACTTCAGTGGAAATGTTCTGATCTGAATTTTCTCCACTTTTTTGTCTTAAAGGAAACCCGCTATCGCCAGCGATACTTGGATCTGATACTTAATGACTACGTAAGACAGAAGTTTATAACTCGCTCCAAAATTATCACATATATGCGCAGCTTCCTGGACCAGATGGGGTTTTTGGAGGTAAGAAGTTGCATCTTGACCACATAGAAATAATCAATTAAACAGTGTATTGAAACTATTCAACTTGTGTGACTAAAAGAAGAATTTTTTTTATTTGAAATTTCTTACAGCGTGTTTTAACAGTTTCTACACTTGACAAGTATTTGAGGAGATTAAAATCACTAAGCCATCCACGTTGAATATGTTTTTTGTTTTTTAGATTGAGACTCCAATGATGAACATTATCCCTGGTGGAGCCGTGGCTCGTCCATTTATTACTCACCACAATGAGCTGGACATGAACCTGTACATGAGAATCGCCCCTGAGCTTTACCACAAGGTGATCTGCTTCTAACAACCAAGACTTCTCTGTCAGAGTTGTCGGGAAATCAAAAACTAAAACGTGTTCTGCTTACTGAAGCGTCTTGTAGACTGCTCAAACATCTGTTCATTTTTTTTTCCAGATACTTGTGGTTGGTGGATTAGACCGAGTGTACGAGATCGGTCGTCAGTTTAGGAACGAAGGCATCGATCTTACTCATAATCCAGAGTTCACCACCTGTGAATTCTACATGGCTTATGCAGATTACCACGATTTGATGGAAATCACGGAGAAAATGGTGTCAGGTAAATTAAAACCTATTTCTAATAATGTCTGTGGTCAGATGTGCAGTTTTATTTGTGCTCGTAGCTCTAACTTGATGTTTGTCACTAAAGATGTACTTGTGACGCCACATTTTTGTGTAATTTAGGTGTTGCATTCCTTTTTGGACTCTTATACTCCAAACCAGGGGCGCACAACATTTGTTTTCGCGACAGCCAAATTGAGATATTTAAAAAAATCAAAGAGCCACATAGAGAATTGAAAAATAAATTTTCTTTAAGGCAAATAATGTGGAAGAGGTTTTCTTGTTGTAGCATAGTTAGCATTCTTGATAAAATATGTTTCTCCTATGTTCTTTAGGAAACAAAGACAAACTCTGTCAACTGGCTCTTGTGACAGTTTGTTAACTTAAAGATGAAAAAAACTAAGTTAAATGTTGTTTTTTTTAGACTCTTTAAGGTTCTGTCTGTTCTGGGAACACAACAACTTGAACAAATGTTTTAATCTATCTTGATTTAAATGTTTGCTTTAAAGTTCTTTAAGTTTCATTGATAAAATGTAGGTTTTTATCAACTTATTTAAAAGTTTTCTTTGAGTTGGGGATTATGGGGCCAGATGGAAACTTTTAGCCCTCGGACCAAATGTTGCCCATGTTTTCTCTAAACTGTCGTTGTAAACCAACAACAGTTGAAGGATGGAGTTAAAAACCTGTGCTTCAACATAAACTCGCACATTACCGTATTTTTCAGCCTGTAAGTCACAGTTTTTTTGCATAATTTACATTCCTTGTGACTTGTACATGGAAGCAACACATTTATGGATCTTCCCATATTTATAAACCAGTTTCTGGCTGAGACATGACGGTTGTTATTCATTCGGACTGAAAATATTGGACACTACCATTTTCAGCCACTAGATGGCACTTGAGTAGTATGGCATGCTGTTGTGTCATGCAATAGATGTATGGCTATTAATGACACAATCAGCTTGCCATAGCCTGCCAGCTCGCCTGGAGAAACCGTCAAATCGGCTTCATTTTGCTGCGCCTCCCAAGTGAAATGCAGCTGATATGACCATTGAAGTGCATTCATTAAGTAAAAGTTCAACTGACACACACCTTTGCTATAAAGTCGAGCGAATAAATAATTGTTTTTAGGTGTTTATCTTGTTAAATTTCAAAGAAATGCACAGCGTTCCTCCTTCTTGATTTCCTCCCTCTGCGCACTCCCGGAGCACTGAGGCAGCGAATACTTTCGAAATGCAGCTGATTTGACCGTTAAAGTCCTTTTTAATTAAACAAAAGTTAAACTGAGACACACGTTTACTATAAAGTCGAGCAAATAAATAATTGTTTTTAAGGGTTTATCTTGTTAAAGTTCAAAGAAATGCACAGCAACTCATCCCTCTGCGCGCATGCGCTTCCGCAAATCGGCTTTTGCAATGCAGCTGGTTTGACCGTCAAAGTGCATTTATTAAGGAAAAGTTCAACTGAGACACGTTTTTTGCTATAATTTCGAGCAAATAATAATAAATTAATCAAATAAATAATTGGTTTTGAGTGTTAATCTTGTTAAAGTCCTGTGTGCACGCTCCCGCAGCCGTAATTTGGCAGCCAATCGATTTTTGGCACAACACCGGCCCACATTTCCGGGTTGTCAGCGGTGACGCGTAACGAAACGCGACACGTCGGCGGTGACGCGTAATAGGTGACTGGTCTGTTCAGTCGGAGGAATAACTGCGGGGTCTGGCTGAGCCAAGGCCAAGTATATAATATGAAAACTTTGCTCCTGAACTTGGTGATCTCGTTTGCTGCAGGAATGGTAAAACACATCACGGGGGGATACAAGGTGACTTACCATCCTGATGGTCCGGAGGGACAGGCTTACGAGGTTGACTTCACTCCTCCGTTCAGGAGAGTGAGCATGACACATGACCTGGAGAAAATCATGGGTGTCAAGTTCCCTCCTACTGACAGCTACGACAGCAATGGTAAGGATCTCTGCTTGTTTTAACGTCCGACTCATTTAGGGGATGTAACGTTGAACGTTTGTGTCCGTCACAATTTTGTTGTCAGAAACGCGCAAATTCTTTGACGACCTGTGTGCCGCTAAAGGAGTTGAATGTCCTCCACCCCGGACCACCGCCCGCCTTCTTGACAAGGTGCTTATTGATGAACATCACTGTTGCCATTTTTTCTGTTTCAAAAAAAAGTTTTGACTAAAGCATTTCTTTTTCTTTATAGTTGGTTGGCGATTTCCTCGAGGTCACGTGTATCAGTCCAACGTTCATCTGCGATCACCCTCAAATCATGAGCCCCTTAGCAAAATGGTTGGACGCGACGAGCATTTTTGTTAATTTTTATTTAAAAATGGCATGTTTGAGCGCACAGTAACACTTGCTCCACTTCTACAGGCACAGATCCAAAAAAGGCCTGACGGAGCGTTTTGAGCTCTTTGTCATGAAGAAGGAGATCTGCAACGCTTACACGGAGTTGAACGATCCAGTCAGGCAGAGGGAGCTGTTTGAGCAGCAGGCCAAGGTGTGTTTAGGCTTTTTTTAACCGTCGCGATACATCAATTAATCGCATGATAAATGAAAAGTATCAACCTCATTTATCGTTTCTTCATCTCTCTCTTTCTACTGAAGACACTGGATGACAAAAGGTTCAACCCCGGTGCTCTTCACTGACCCCTCCCTTTCTCTTTTATCTGTAAAATCTGTTTTAATCGTCCAAAATCACATTTTTGGATCGTTAAACGCAGCTAAGCTGAGAAGCTAAGCTACGAGCTAAGCTAAAAGGCCGACCTTGGGGGGGGGGGGGGGGGAAGAAAAGAAAAAGAAAATGTGCACTTTTAGTTGTTAATAGTTTTTGAACAAATAAGCACAACTGAACAAATTTAGAAGAATAAAATAACTTTCCTGCAAACACAAAGTATTAAAAATACAATCTCTTATAAATGAAATGGTCACATTTGAGTTGTCAAGTATTCCCTTGTAAGTAAAACTAAATAATAAAAAATATCACATTTGCCATTTGTCAAAGTAAACAATGACTTGTGCAAATAAAATGTCATGTGCAAAGGCCTACCTCTGTACAGATCTCTTGTAAACAGTTAAAGGCTAACACTTTATTTTTTTATTATCTGCTCCTCTTCTTCCTGGAGCAGCTCTGCCGCTTCAACATTCGAAGTTTCCTCCATTTTCTCAACCGCACCGTCTCTTTCACTTCTTGTTACAGACGGGATGGGGTGGAGTCACGTGACTACAGACTGCACGTAGCGCAGCGTCTTAAAGGGACATGAGCATAGTTTACCTATACACAGCCAAAAGACAAAACAACTTCTTTTTTTTTAAACACCGAAAATACCGACATGGGCAAAATGATGTTGATCATTGTTATAAATTTCGGTGTAGGTTCATTTTCGGTATATTGCCCAGCCCTAAAATATGCTACGCTAAAGAGCTCAAACCACACCGAGCGTCCGCCACTTTGAGAACTAGAGACAGCCCATGTCACGTCAAGGGGCCTCCCTCCCATTTATCTTAAAGAGCTACGCTGCTCGCTCCCTCACTATCCATCCTTCGGTTCAAACCGTCTTATACTGCCATCCAGTGGTCAAAAAAGTTACTACACTCACAACTAAACATTTGACAGTGATTAGTAATTCTTGTCAAATTTCAAACAATATTATCGTTTATCGCAATAATTTGTGAGACAATTAATCGCCCAGCAAAATTTGTTATCGTGACAGGCCTCGTCATGTGTATTCAACAACCGAAAGGTTCTGCAATAGTATTATCTCATGCTAATGATTTGAAATGGATTTTTTTAGGCCAAAGCTGAGGGTGATGACGAAGCCATGTTCATCGATGAGACTTTCTGCACGGCGCTGGAATATGGTCTGCCGCCCACCGCTGGCTGGGGGATGGGCATCGATCGTCTCGCCATGTTCCTCACGGACTCCAACAACATCAAGGTAAAGTTGTCAAAATGGGGTTTGTACGGGTGCTTAAGATGCTGGAATTTTAAATTTATAATGTTCAGTGTTAGACTTTTATTTTCTAATGTAATTTAATATTAGTAAAGGTAGATATTATGATTTTTTTTATATATATTATGTATTAAAATCTGATGTGAACGTTGTTTTGATCCATGAAAGTTGCAAAATCATGCAGTGCTTCATATCTGACCGTAAATACTGTATTTTACTGAGAAAACTCCTGTCGTTATGAAACTTCTGAAGCCCCGGAGTTGAACTTTGGTCATATTTGTTTTAGAAATAGAGGTTTGGGGGAAACTATATCAATATGACAGTAAACCGTTTGATGCAACCGTCAGGTTTTCTCAGTTATTTCTCAAAAAACGATTAAAAATGTTCCTCGCTGATTTTTATCAAGTTGCTTTTTTCTTGATCATGTAGAGTTCAAAACCATAAATCACAAAAACTGAAGGCAGTGATGTTAAAGGAAGTGCAGAGTAACAAACAAAAACAAAAGGGCAGAAATATGAGTCAACATTTATGAGCACGCTGTCAGAAGAAAGTGTGATTTACTTCAACAGAATAACCTCTGTGGGAACAGACGTGATATTTAACGAAGAATCGGACGTGATGCAGAAAATCTGTTTAAAGCAGATTTGGTAAAACATGACTGGCTGGAGTCACGTTTGTCATCCTGCCGGTCAAACGCTGGTTTGGTCACAGTGAAGCAGTTTACAGGATGGTTAATTTAGCCAGAAAACAAAGAGCGTTCACATTTTTTCATTTGTTTTTATGTAAAGTCACAATACTTCTGTAACAAGGAGTAACTTTGAACTCTGTTAGAAACCGAAACTTTGTTTTTTTTTTACTACAAGGCTCCATCCTGAAAAACTGCTTTTTCAGCTGCCGCACAAGAAGGTGTCGACGTGATTTATTTAAAATAGTTTGTCTCAGAAGAGTCGAGCTGTCATAAAATGTGAAACAAATCATCTTCTGTTTATTTTATTTTGTCTCAGTTGATTTTTTTTTTTCCCAACAGTCCAAAAACCCTTTAGTTTTTTTGTTCCTAGTCCAGTTAGTCTTCTGGGTCTTATAGGAGTTTAAGGTCATATTTATGGACTCTTTGAAACTCAGATGGACATTTTTAGACTGGAAAAAATAAACTTTTTTGGTTTGGAGTTTTTAAATATAATTTAAAATAACTGATTTTCACCTTCTATACAGACCCACACCCTCATGTTTGTATTTCTGTTTTCATCTTTCACAGGAAGTGTTGTTGTTCCCAGCTATGAAGCCTGATGACATTAAGAAGCCCACTCCTTCTGAGGACGCCTCTGCCTAGTTCTTGACCTCTGACCTCTCCTGCTGTCCGGTCTCTGCAGGAGCCCGTAGGAAACGGGAGTCTTTACCTCAGCGTGGTCACCACTGCAGGCTAAGTTTTATCTGTTGTAGCTCATTAAATGTTTTCTGTCATTAGGGGAAATCATCTTTTATATGATTGAATGGTAAACTATAATGGATGATTCTGTTGGGTTGTAAAAGTTTTAATCCTGTTCAAATGATACCACTCAGTACCGTTAGTGCAAACCTGGATGTAATACTTCTCGATTGTACGCCGAGCTACTTCAGGGGTCCTTTCTACTTTATACCAAAAACACAAATGGATACAGACCCTATGAATAAATCCAGTTCCAAGTCCTTCTGTTTTAAGCGTCCTCTGTGTGTTCTTGTATCTAAACCAGGTCTGCTTGTTCAAAGGTTTTTCAAATTCCATATTTATCTGCCTTACAAATTGGTATATTTAAATAAAATGCACATTAATCTGCAGGTTTTTTTTTTTTTTGTTGTTGTCATGTTTGTGAAGTAAAAACATGAATCAGATGGAAAAGGTACGCCACCTTTAAAACCTGGGAAGTTGCTGTATTTTAAGAACTTTTAAGTCTGATCTAACTGAGATGCAGCTGACATTGATGGTGTGCACTTAACTTGCAAATTAAATTGACAACTTTCATAGGAATTTTTGAAAATTGGAAAACTGACCGCCGTGTTCTGCTCTCCCCACGTTGTTCATGTGGATAGAAGCTGTCTTCACAGATTAGTTTTCTTGAGATTAGCTGACATTTTTACATTTGACATCTTTGTTCATTGTGACTTTTTCTGGTCAACAGATATTTGTCATATCCAAACATTTCTTTCAAGAAACTACGCTACTTTATGATAATATCAAGGTCACCACCTAACGATGTTTCAGCTTTGCTTGCCGTTCTGACTTCAATAGCATTTGGTAAATTTAGGCTGTCTTAATGATTTTTAATTGAGCTAAGTGAATCCATTTCGTCTAATTTATATGTAATGTTTGTGTTGGCGCAACCGTTGACCTTACAAACGTACAAATGGTGACCAGATTGGGATCACGGACATTGAGGTGGTGCCCCAAAACCAACAGCTATTCCAGAGTGTCAGGTATATTATGGTGCTGTCACATTTAAAAACTGCTGGAACGTAGGAGTTAAATGATCAAATTCTGCTCTAGGCCTATTCTGTTTCTTATTCTACAGTTCTCCATGTTTCTAAAGGGAGGAGTCCAAGAGGCTTTCTAATCAGAGCCACCTCAACTGATTCCTTTCGATTCAAAAGAGCAGAGGCGCTCCCCCACGCTCAAGCCACCCATGTGAAGAAAGCTCATTTTGGTCGCTTGTATCTGGGATCTTGTTCTTTCGATCATGAAAACTCATGACCGTAGGCGAGGGGTGGAACGTAGACAGACAAGTAAATTGAGCCCTTTGCCTTTTAACTTGTGTGGGAGACCGCAACGAAGTGAAGATTCAACAAGTCTGCTGGCTTCCTCCCTGAAATAGAGATTTTTTTACTAATTGGCTTTTCTGCGAATGTTTTGATCAGTGCCCTGAGACATCTTCTGTTGTGGTTTGGCGCTGTATGAATAAACTGAATTGAAAAATTTAACTGAACTTGACTTTTCACTACAACTGACCGAAGCAACGCATCATTACTGAGGACGAGACCCCAGTCATTTGATCTATCACCCACTCCATCCTACCGTCACTGAAGAACGATACACCAGGTAAAAGAAATTCAGAGGACCTGTCTTCATCAAGGTTCTTTACTGTCATTTGCACCACGTGTGGTACATGAGGTGGAACGAAATTGTGTACTGAAGGTCCCGGTTACACCCAAAAATAGGAAAAATATAAAGCATAAAAAGAAACTAAACAAGGATGTAAGATTTATGCTAACACTAAAAATGTAACTATGGCTGTAACTACCGTATCATCACTGCACCCCGTATTCACTGGTTAACTGGTCATCATTAACTTCATGCAGACTCTCACTGGTACATTTTAATCTTTAAATCACTTCTTGGTCTGCTGCCCTCATACATTACTACTACATGTCACTAAGTGAGTGCAGCTACAGCGTGCGCTCTCAGGACATCATTACCTGCAGTGTTCCCTCAGTGCGGACTGAACTAGGCAAAGGACCTTCTACTCTGCTCCTGTTTCCTGGAACATCTTGTAAAAAGATGTGAAGCTCTCAACCTTGACCTCTCTAAGTGGCTTCAAATATCTGCTAAGTTCCTGGCAAAAACCAACGCAGACATGTTCCTGTTTTTAGTATTTTACATCACTTTATAATGTAGCTGTTTTTGTTTCATTTTAGATCACGTCTTCTATTTACTTTTCATTTTATATGATTGTCTATTGTTGTCTGGACCTCATTTGTGTTCTTTGTTTAAAACGGATCTCTTGTAAATGAGCCCTTGAGATTCGATGAGACTAACCTGTAAAAATAAAAGTGGAATGAAAAAAATGTAAAATAATACAGTATATTAAGCAGCATCCTGAACATGAGTCTGTAGTGAGCAGATGGGTATGAATACAGTCAAAGTTTATTGGTCGTTCGCACTATATGTGGTACATGTGGTGGAACGAAAGGGTACCGTAAATCCAACAAAAGTATAAATTGTAAAGAAAAACAGTAATAAGATCTAAGATATGAACTATGTAATAATACGCTAAAATAAAAATACACAGCACTAATAGTATAAAAACAATATGCCAAACAACAGCAGCACGAACATGAGTCTTAAAGGCAAGAAATCAGCAGCGCAGAGAAAATCACGTATCACCAATTAAAGTGGCATGACAGTGATTTTGTTTTTCTCACGGTGATTATCCTGGTTAGATATTTATGAGTCTTAACAGCTTCAGGGTAGAAGGTATTCCTCAGTGGTTCTACACTTAATGCTTCTCAACCTCCTTCCTGAGGGGAGCGGGACAAAAAGTGTGTGTGCTGGGTGAGTGGGGTCCTTCATGATGCAGGTGGTCCTCTTCCTGCATCTGGAGGTGTAGATGTCTGTGGGGAAACTGACTCCAACATCTTCTGTGCAGCCTTCACCACTCTCTGCAGAGCTTTTCTTTCTGCAGCTGTGCAGCCTCCATGCCACACGTTGATGTTGGAGCACAGGATGCTCTCCACTGCACACCTGGAGAAGGAGGTGAGGACTGAGCTTCCAGACCAGCTCGTCTCAGCCGCCGGAGGAAGTAGAGTCTCTGATGAGCTTTCTTATCAGGCTGGTGGTGTTGTTGCCCCAGTTGAGGTTGTCATTCAGGTGCACACTCAAGCACTTGTAACTGGAGACCACTTCCACCGCAGACTGGACAGACAGACTTCATAAGCTGGTCCCAGTAAATCCCAGTAAAACTTAAGTCCCGACTCCTTTAACCAAACAAACTGGACATTTACTCTCAATTCAGGATGCTAATGTGCATGCAAAGTCAAAGTCAATATTTTCTGCTGCATTGTGGTCTAGGTGGATCCATGCCTTCTTACAGTTCTAACATTTGGTCAAACTTCATTGGTCATTTTTGTGTATTTGTTACTATCTTTGACTATGACCTTTTTATTCTATGAAAAAATATTAGTTTTTCCAAGTTTGATGTTCTTTGCATTGTTTATCAACAGTTGACGTGGATCGACATTTAGTCTTCATTTCTATGTGTCGTGATCTGCAGTCGTTCTGATGTCCTGAAACATTGTGTGTTAAGGACATTTTGCTCTCACAGCGTAAGATAATAATAAAACCAATTTATAATTAGGTACATTTGTATATAAAAGTCAATAATGAAGTTAATAAAAAAGGTGTAAAAGGCCAAAAGACTATAGTTGAACACTGACCTTGAATACTGCAGCTTTGAATCTATTAGAGCATGTGGTGCCCAGTTTTACATGTGCACATTCGTAACTGTAAAAAGGTCAGTTATTGTGCAGACTCTGGTTCCAAAAGGACAACATGGTTGGTAGCTTCCATAAAGTTGGTCCTTTAGTTTCACTGCCCAACAACAAAAAGAGGCGGGAACATTTGCTCCATACATCAATCATCTTTTACCCACTTCTTCCTTTTTTAGTTACGGGGGTCACTGGTGTCCATATCCAGCAGTCACTGCGAGAGATGGGAGACACTTGGACAGGTCCCCAGTCCATCACAGGGACACAGAGACAAACAAAACTATTCACACACACTCAGGGATGATTTAAAGTTACCAGTTAGCCTCTAATATCAACAACCAAGCTCCATCTTATCTTATTGTTCCATATTTTCCTAACAGAGCACCTCACTCTCAGACTGCAGGTTTACTTGCGGTCCCTAGTGTTTCCAAAAGCAGAATGGGAGGAAGATCTTTCAGTTCTCAGGCTCCTCTCTTGTGGAACCAACTTCCAGTTTCTATCCATGAGGCTGACACATTGTCCAGTTTTAAGACTGGGCTTAAGACTTTCTGATAAATCCTATAGTTAGGCTTGTTATGCTGCTTTAAGCTTAGACTACTAGAGGACAAATTGACCTAATTTCCTTAAATGATTTGCTAAAATTGAATAGTTTTTATTTGATACTATTTCTATCTTAACATGTGATTCTTGACCTGCCATTGTGTATCTGTTCTTACCAAACCCAGCCGGTCGAAGCAGATGGTCCTCTTGTCCTGATCTTGGTTCTGCTAAAGGTCTCTCCCTCATGAGGGAGTTTTTCCTTTCCACTGTCGCCTTCATGCTTGCTCAAGATGAGAGTTCAGTGATGGAGTTAAATTCAAAGCTGTCTGCTCCTCGGATAAATAATGTTAAATTATTATTTTTATATATGTTTCTGTTAACATTGTTTTTATCTATATCATTAATGTTTCTGTTCAGTGCCCTGAGATGACTTCTGTTGTGACTTGGTGCTGTATAAATAAACTGAACTGAATATTATCATATTATATATTGATGTAAAAAAAAAAAAAAAAAGTTTTAACATTCCTCAAGTTTTAAAGTTTTTAAATAAAATTCTGTTATTGTTTTTCAATGTTTTGTTCAAAGATGCCAGACTTGGTATGTTTTGAGTATTTTAGTAGTATTTTTAGTATGATTTTAGTATTTTTGCTGCATGCTTTGATTTCATTGATGGGGTGGCGGACCAAGGGCCAGATTAGGATGATCCAATGGGCCACTTTTGGCCCTCGGGCCTTAGTTTTCCTACGTGTACCTTGGATGGTTGTCCAATCTCACCTGCACATTTTCCTTTAATATTCCACGATTTAATGTTTTTATTGTGTTAAATAAACTTAGAGTCAACCCCCGCACACCGGGCCTCTGCCTACGTGAACGCGCAAATGAGATGGTGCGCGCTCCCGCGGCCCACAGCGACTGAAGATGGCGATGAGAGCAGCCCTGCGGTGCCTCTCCGCAAACTTTGCTCCCAGGCTGCCGCAGCCTTCACCGGCGCGGCTGCCGTGGAGGAGCTGCTACCGGCGGACCCTGAGCACCACACCGGCCGCGCACACAGGTAAAACCAGGAGGTGAAGTGGTTCACGCCACCAACCAGTCCATGCGGACACATTCGGGGAATGGCGACAAATAGGACAGTTAATAGTTCACTGATAACTCGAGAGCGGCTTTATCACCAACTCAGAGCCGCCACTTGTCGGTCCTTTGGCTAAATTCACATTATTGAGCTGCTGGAGTAAGAGGGGTTAAAACCAGCAACTCCAACTGGAAGTTTTGTCTCGTGCACCAATCAGTTCTGATTGTAGTAAATGGTCTCCTGACACTGTGCATCATCTTGCACGGTGCACAATCTGGTTCAAGCCTGTATTTTCCTGCATGATCTGATGCCAGCGGCTGAAAACTGCCGAGGCGTTCCCAGTCTGTAAAAACAACCGCGTGCATGAACATTAGTTTAGACTGTGAAGTTCTGCACCTGCCAAACCAGTCATCGGAATTTACCAGTACACCTGCACAGAACAGCCCAGTTTGTTGTACTTATTTTTTCCCCACGCATGGTGTTGCATAACAAAAAGCAGCTGTGGTCCATAGTACAGTTTTTATTTACAAGTGTTTCGCTTTCTTGCTGCAGAACACTGATTTATTATTTATTTTAAAGGGCTGTGTGTTCAAAAGATGTCTAGTTTGTCGTTGATAACACCGATTTGTAAGTTTTGTGTTTTCAACGCGTTTGAAATATTTGTTTTCTTTGCAGCCCTGAAGTTCACTGAGAAGCACGAGTGGGTGCAGGTGGACGGGGGGATCGGCACTGTTGGTATCAGCAGCTATGCCCAGGTAGGTTTTTGTGATTTGTTTCTCTGCAGGTGGTTGATTTACGACGCTCCTTGTTAACAGATCGTAATCTAAACGCAGTTGAGGGCTGCACTTTGCTCCCTGCAGATCCACTGTGAGGGGATTTTACTGCTTTATGACTAATGTTTCAGACAGTTGATTACTGCCATGCTGCAGAGGAGGGCAGGTGGGATTTTGGGGGCAGACGCTTGATGTCCAAGTAGCGAATGGAGGCAGGACTTCTTTTATCTTCAGCCTGAACGTAGCTTGTTGAGAAATGACATACAACAACCTAGCTCCATCCTATATTCAGACTGCAGGCTTACTCACGGTTCCCAGAGTTTACAAAAACAGAATGGGAGGAAGATCTTTCAGTTATCAGGCTCCTCTCTTGTTGAACCAACTTCCAGTTTCTGTTCGTGAGGCTGATAGTTAGGGTTGGCTTGTTATGCTGCCTTAAGCTTGACTACTAGAGGACAAACTGACCTCGTTTCCTTAAATGTTTTGTTAAAATTGAATAGTTTTAATTTGATACTATTTCTATCTTAATGTGATTCTTGACCTGCCATTGTGTATCTGTTCCTCTCAAACCCAGCCGTTAGAAGCAGATGGTCCTCTTGTCCTGAGCCTGGTTCTGCTAAAGGTTTCCTCCTCATGAGGGAGTTTTTCCTTTCCACTGTCGCCTTCATGCTTGCTCAAGATGAGAGTTAAACTCAAAGCAGTCTGCTCAGATAAATAGTGTTAAATTATTATTTTTATATATGAATGTTTCTGTTCAGTGCCTTGAGACGACTTCTGTTGGCGCTATATAAATAAACTGAATTGAATTGAAATGATATTTATGGCGTTTTATTCCCGTTGTAGTAGATGGAGCTATTGTGAAATTCTCAGCTCCTGCTAAAGTTATTTAAGGTCTCTGCTGCTAAAACAAACAAAAAATTACTTTTCAGATAAGTATTTTTTTCTGCTTTTTAAAGTTTAGAAACTAAATCTTTCTCCTGATTCTTTCTTTAAAATGAGCAAATAACACTTCTAATGTGCTAATCGCTAGCATAAAATATTGTATTAATAATGGGAAGATTGGGAGCAGTTGTAACATTTTTAACAGATCAGACATTTTTACTTGGAACGTTTAAGTTTATACTGTTAATGGTGTCATATTAAAATGAAGCTTTAATCTGATTTTAAATCATTTGTAGTTAATGTTTTATGCTATATTGCCTGTTCTAGGTATATTTAGCTTTAAATCGCATTGACAAATAACGTTTCCTGTTCCATATTCTTAGAAAGCCTTAAACATTTTCACTTTTAAGACCCTGTAATTTGAAATAAACTTTAAGATCATAAAGTCAAATTATGCTAATGTTGGCAACACTAATAACTGGTGTGTAAAATGCTTTAATATATACTGATCTGTATACCCAATATCTTTATATCATTTGCTATTTTTTATAGTCTGTCCTTTATGTTTTTATAAGTTTCCACAAAATGCTGTCTTTCAGAAGAAAAAGGTCCTGAACATACATTTGTTGTACTTTGCAAATAAATAAAAAAAATCTATTTTTATTCTATTTTGACCTCAAAGAGCTTGATTTTCTTGTGATATGTTTCAAAGTACCGTAATTACCAGACTATAAGCCGCAACTTTTTCACACGCTTTGAACCCCGTGGTTTATAAAATACTGGAGCTAATTTATAGATTTTTTTTTATTTTGACAGGCTAACGAGCTTCCTGCCGCCAAAACATTTAGCTTCGTCACACCTGGGCGCTCACATAGCTGTCCAATACACGTCTCTCTTGAGGGGTGGGTCCTCATGACTCAATGAGACTACCTGTATAAATAAAGGTAAAAAATAAAATTTGACCAATGAAATTACCGATCCGGTCACAGTGGACCAATGAAATTTCGAATGATCGTAAATGAAACGCGCTCTCACTAAGTTCTTCAGGTCAGTTATTTTGCACTTCATGAACACACCCTCCTCATGGAAGACGCACAAAACAAATGCAGATGATGCAGCTTTCAAGTTAAAGGCGATAAATCTGGCTGTCGAAGAAGGAAATGGAGCACGTAAGCTAGGCGTAAGCTACTGTATTTATTTTTAACCAGCCTCGTTACAGGCACTGTTCAGAAAAAAAACTTTTACTGTACGTATTTGCGTATGTTACCAGTACATATTTAATGAAAAGTTTAAAAAAATCTTTGTGTAAATATCTTCTGTTACAATAGGGACATCCACGGCTTAGATAAGCGCAGCCTATATATGTACAAATTGGATTTTTAAAAATTTATTTAGTGGGCGTGGCTTATATTCAGGTGCACTCAATTTCAACCTATATTTATACAGGTTAATCCCATTGAGCCTCGGGGACTCATTTACAAGAGAGACCCGAAGTTGCGCTCAATAGTCCAGAAATTACGGTAGTCTTGGTCACTAGTTTTTCAGGCCTTCAAAAGCTGTTTCAAAGTTTTACTTTTGAGCTTTTAATTTAAATGGAGTAAATTTAGGATCAGTTTAAAACGAAAGGCCTTGTATACAGTTAAAATGAGTTCAATTGCATGCAAACAGGATTAGTAAGTATAATGATGTTTTATATCTGAAGCATAGTGAATGAAGAGCTACAGAGTGAGTCTGAAATGAAAGTATTAATGGGTTTAAAAAGATTGGATTTTTTTTTAAATATGTGTTCATTGCAGAAATGATCAAATAATTGCTTTTTAGGTTTATTAAATACTTTGTTGTGTCCTCTGCTTGGTTGTGTTTTTTGCAGGAAGCATTAGGTGATGTGGTCTACTGTGGACTCCCAGAGGTTGGCCAAAGATTAGAGAAAATGGGTAAGATTCCAGAGTGTAAACTTGACATTTAGTGGTGTTTGTAGCAGTGTGATAAGCTGTTTCTATTGTCGTGTGCGTTTCTATTTTAGATGAGTTTGGTGCTTTAGAAAGTGTAAAGGCTGCCAGTGAGTTATACTCACCTCTGACAGGAGAAGTGACTGAGATCAACACAGAGCTAGCAGAAAATCCTGGACTTGTGAACAAAGAGTGCTACGCAGACGGTGAGTGGTTCATTCCCAGAACAACGCACTCGTAATTTTTTTTAAAAACTCCCTTTGGGTTTTTTGGCAGCATAGTTTGTTTTAATAATTAGGTTTTTCGTTTAGTTTCTGAACTCTTGTCTTTCAGGGTGGCTAATTAAGATGACAATTGAAAAACCTGAAGAACTGGATGAACTTATGGATCAAGCAGCTTATGACACGTTTCTTAAATCACTGGAAGAATAAATGAATGAACTCACTGTTTTCTAATTGCTGTCAAAGATTAGTAGAAAGAGTTACTAACATCTGGTGTGACCTTCATCTTGTTCTGTGGGATTTGTTTTAATACTAAATATTAGTAAAATCTCAAATCCTCCATAACAGCTTCCACTTAAATGATTAGAGTTTGTTAAACCACCAGGAAATCTAAAGGGCTCCTAAACTGTAGGTTTGTCTGAAAAATCAGGTCTTGTTTGTGGTGCTTTTTTACATTAAAGTGAGCAGAGGTGCGATAAATGGTAGAAATTGCTCTGTCAAACTAATTTAATAAAAACATTTTTGGGTTTTATGTCTTTCTATTTATTTCAGAACCCAAGCCTAAAGTATATTCACCCCTCAACATCGTTGTCATCTAGTAAACATGCTGGAATGTGTTGAACTGTATTGTCCTTTACAGTCTAGCACAGATTTGCTCAAATGTCAACAGTACACTTGCTGATGGGGCGTGATGCTTCGTTTTGCTTATTTTAGTTCTGCACACCTTGACCTTTCCCCTCAGCTGAAGATCAGCTGATCGCAGAAGTTAATTAATGATTAATCCAATGAAGGGTTTAAAATTTATGATTGAAAAGCTTTACTTGGTATTTTAAATTCACTTTATAATTAAGGACGCGTAAAAGAGCTGTGTTGCCCTGTCGCCTCGTATCTTTTTGTAGAAAGTTTTTTTTTTCTACAGGTATTTTGAGCCACTGAAAACCAGCCACTAGAGCACAAGCCAGTGTATCTCTTGTGCTGGTCCCAAGCCCGGGTAAATGGTGAGGGTTGTGTCAGGAAGCAACACCTTTTAGCCAAAACTACAATGCGAGTTCATCAAAGCGAAACTACCAGATCGGTCGAGGCCCAGGTTAACGACGACGGCCACTGGTGCTGTTGACAAATGGTGCTGGCAGAAATTGTGCTACTGCTAGTCGAAGACCACGAGGAAGAAAACGTGTCAGGGGACAGAAGGAGAAGAGGAAAGTCAAGACTAGAACTGAGGGTTGCAACTCTAAATGTAGGAACAATGACAGACAAAGGTAGAGAGCTGGCTGACATGATGCAGAGAAGGAAGGTAGATGTTTTATGTGTCCAAGAGACCAAGTGGAAGGGCAGCAAGGGTCACAGCATTGGAGCAGGGTTCAAACAGTTTTACCATGGTGTGGATAGAAAGCAAAATGGAGTAGGGTGGTCCTGAAGGAGGAGTTGGCAAAGCATGTAGTAGAGGTGAAAAGTGTGTCCGATAGGGTGATGTGCCTGAAGGTAGAAGTAGAAGGTCTGATGCTAAACAATGTCAGTGGTTATGCTCCACAAGTTGGATGTGATGATGTGTGAAAGATACATTTTGGAAAGATCTGGATGAAGTGATAGAGAGTATTCCCAGGGAGGAGATAGTGGTGATGGGAGCAGACCTGAATGGACATGTTGGTGAAGGAAACAGAGGATGAGGAAGTGATGGGTAGGTTTGGTATCAAGGAAAGAAACCAGGAAGGGCAGATGGTGGATTTTGCCAAGAGAATGGAAATGGCTGTTGTCAACACTAAAATGTATAACAATGTATCAAGTATCAGGATTGAACACACTTGTTAAGCATAAAGTTAAAATTGGCTTTAATTAATTCATTAAGACAAACAAGGAAAGAAACAACACTAGATATGTAATATTTAACATTGCTTAAAAATAGCATCACATTTAGATTGAACGGATCTGTTTTATGAATAGAAAAAAACGAAAGACAGCATCTGCTGAACGCTGTATACAAAATCTCTCACTGGAATCAGTTTAACAAAGTAACAACTGACATCACAACAAAGTTACACTCTTAACTAGATGTTAATGTTAAAATCATTTTATATGTGTTTGAATCTGCCATCTGTGCTATCAGCAGTTTTAAAAAAAAGTACATTGCTATCGGCTCTAAAACAAAGGTAATTGAGCGTTAACTAAACTCTGAATTCACAAGTTTGATGAATTAAAGTGAATGTGAATGGTTTCTTATCTGATCTGTTGTTCCTGCTATTTGTGGTTCTTTCATCCTTTAGTCAAACAGTCTGTCCCAGATCTCTTTCTGAATTTGCATGTGACGTGAATCACGGGATGAGCTCAAGAACATCATTAATTGGATACCACAGTACATCCTCTTGTAGAGGCCAGAAGAATCTGTTTGTGGTTATCCCGACATGGTGCATGCATTTGAATGAACGTTGGTTTCGTCACACACCACTCCCCTGTTACCTCTGGGTCATCCCAACTGTTTTGTTTCTGCCCTTGTGACGCAGTAGCTGGGACTTTCCTGACAAAGCTGAAATGCTTTGTGTTCCAGCATTCACATTCAAGCTTTCCAGATGGAACACATGCAACTGACATCTCACAATGTTATCTCCCCTCGAGCAAGAGTAATTACTTGATGGACGTGCATGGTTCCTGTGGAATATTGGATGGCATCCTGTGCAGTGCCTGCTCAACAGCTTCATCTTCAATATAATACAATTTGATTGAAGTGTCCGTCTCGAACAGGGCTTGAGGAGCTCATAAGCATTGTTGATGTCCTGGCCATGGCTGATAAGGTTATCTGCTGATCTCTTTAAGGCAGCACCGACACCATCTGGTGCTCTTTTGCTGTGACTGGACTTGAAAAAATTCCTGGTCCCTCTCAATCCTCTCTTGTCAAGCTCAGTACTGAAGAAATAAAAGCTTCCTTTCAGCCAGTATTGTGTACAGGACCCATCACTAAAAAAATGCACAACAGACACCTCTGGGTGTGTGGTCTGCACATAGTCCAGTGCAAGTTTCAAATGTTCCCATATGGCAGCTGGACTCATGTTTGAATGGTGAAATGGAGGTAAAGCAGGTTGGTTCTTGGGTTCCACCAACATGATGACCCCTGTGTGAAGTGTGGCCTGTTGGTGGGATGATCCAAACTGTACTGACTGAATTTCAGTGCTGTACTTAGGGAAAGTTCTCAGAGAAGTCAATGTGGATAAGGCATTCATCATTGGCCATGCAGCCACGCAGTCCACGATAGTATTGTTGCCTGATGAAGAGATGCCTCTTAAACTTAGTAAGGTTTGTGTGAAACCTCTCTGCAAGCTGCTCTTGAATGCTCTCAATTTTATTTTATTTTTACTGTTATTTTTGTGACCCCACTGGACCCTGGTCTGGCTTGCACTCATAAGCGTCAGAAGCATCTGTAATGTGTGTGTGTGGGGGGTGGGTGGGGGGTGGGGGGCACTATAGTGTGTGTGTACACGCATGTGTGTGCACGTGCACCAGTGTACAAAAAAGATCAGGAATGAGATCATCAGAGGTACAGCACAGGTTGAACAACTAGGAGATAAAGTTAGAGAGACCAGACTGAGATGGTTTGGACATGTCCAGATTAGGGACAGTGGTTTGGACATGTCCAGAGGAGGGACAGTGGGGATATTGGTTCAAGGAGGTTAGAAGTGCAGCTGCCAGGAAAAAAACAAAGAGGAGATATATGGATGCAGTTAGAGAGGACATGGAGGTAGTTGAAGTGAGGACAGAGGATGCAGAGGACAAAGTGAGATGGAGGAGGAGGACTCACTGTGGCGACCCCTGAAGAGAGAAAAGCCAAAAGAAGAAGAAGATTTTGAGCCACTGAGACAATTCACCAATATATACAGAAATGCAGTTGTAAATTAAATTTTGTGTCAACATGCATACAAAAATCAGAACTTTTTTGTGCCTAAATCAAATAATTGGCCTTGAACATCTATAAAAGATTAGCTCTCTCCACCTTCCAACAACGAAAAAAAAAAAAAGAATGAATAACATTAAGGTGTTTCAAATTAGAAAGACTTGATTATAGAATATTAGACTATTTATGTGACGTTCAAGATGTTCACTCTTTAAATTATAAATTTAAATGGGAGTCACACAGTCTGGCACAGCAGGTGACACCAGTATAATCACAGCTTAATATCACATTTTGCCATTGTTTTATAATTTTATTGTTTCATAATTTCAAACAAATACTTGTGCTCAATAAATATATCAATCAATTAATCACCTTTATTTTACCAGGTAGAGCCCGTTGAGATCGAGATCTCTTTCACAAGGGTGACCTGGTCAAGTGGTCATCAGCACACGGCACAGGGTAATTGACAATAAGCATTTGCATGTATCAAAAGAAAAAAAAAAGATAATATATATATTATATATATAATATAATATATAAATGTAAATAAACTATCCATTCATCATCTTTACCAGATTCTTCTTTTTTCGGGTCGTGGGGGTCACTGGTGCCCATATCTAGCCATTACTGGGCGAGAGGCGGGGGACACCCTGGACAGGTCTCCAGTCTATCGCAAGGTACTGCTAAAATAAAGGTGTAAATAAAGGTTGAATAAAGTCTGTTTATATACAGTGGAACTAATTCTTTCACATTGTATTACGAAAACATTTTACCATTCAAATTTGCCTTTGGTTATTTTTTGTAGTTTGAGTTTGACATCTTCGCAAGTATGTACTCTTTGATAAAACCTCTGTTCGTTCATTGGCTGGTTTTCGCATATCCCATAATCCACCGCCCTAAGTTTTTTTTGTGGCTGAGAGTTGAACGCTCTTACATCACATACACTCTTTGATAAAACTCTGTTCGTTCATTGGCTGTTTTTCACATATCCCACAATTCACCGCCTTTCAACTTCCTTTTTCCTTTCGGCCATTTTCCTCCCTTGTAGGTATGTAAAAATATCCCGAAAAGAAATTAAAAGAATCTACTGTAATCCTCGGTATTTAAAATTTTCTTGTCAAAATCATTGATATGTTAAGATAGTGTGTTTTCTGGGCATTTAAATGAGTTGCGTATTGTTGCACTTTTATCTGTAGAAAAGCTGTGCAGCTAATGTTTCAGTGTAAATGCTTGATCAAATGGTGACAGCATTGCAACTATAATAAATTTTTTTGGTATTCGTATTTTTAATAATGGACCCCCTAACGGATACATTTACACAATGACTGTTTCAAATTTAACGAAGGAGCGTTGAGTCGCCATTTATTCCTCGCATGCAGCTAGCGACTCTTGTTTAAGACGTTAGCATAGCGCTGAAAACATCGAGTGGGCTATCCAAGCCGGCATGACAGCTCGATTTATACCCGTTTGTCACGCTGTGTTGCAGGGAAGTAGGCAACCATGGCCCCCAGCCGGAATGGAATGATTCTGAAACCCCATTTCCACAAAGACTGGCAGAAAAGAGTGCGCACCTGGTTCAACCAGCCAGCCAGGAAGAT